CACTGCCGGTTTGTGCATTCAGCTTTCTTGGCCTCACACGGGGGCTTGGGGTTCAGCCGAAATCTGCTGAATCTGACCTTAGTTTGATTTCCAGCCATGTTCTTACAGAAGAAAGGGGCCATTTTGACCAGAAGGCAGTACCCAAAACAAGGTGGCCATGCAAAAATAGATCCGATACAAAGCCACCCATTGCCCAACCACCTCACCCCCCCCTGATCATCAAGCTCGCAGAGGGTCGGAGAGTTTGGCCGACAGGGAGGGGGCCTAGTGCCAACCATGCCTCCCGGGCAAATGACAGGCTTTGGTCTGATCAGGCTGATTGGTTTGCGTGACGTAGCACAAACTTTCTTTTGTTGTTTTTCAAAGCCACAACCAACACCAGAGTGCTTGCAGGATAGGGGACCAACGACACGCAGGTGCAGATATCCGCCCTGTCATGACTGCAATACTCTAGAGGAGGAGGCCACGCAACAAAGACAAAGACATCCCACGCTGGATTGGTTTCAAAAGGAGCTGTGTTCCCATCATCGGGGCCTACTCGGAAGACGGTGGCCAATATGCCCTCCTCGAGTACCCGAAAGAAAGTGGCCAAACTTTCTCAGATCATCTCCCATGAGGAACCCTTGGTTTGGTATCACTGAACAGCTTACCTGTTGGCCTGCTGAGTAGGGAAGGTTCAACTATTCAACTGTTTCTTGGTAAACATTTATTCGGTTGACTTCTTGGGCCAGAAAAAGTTTCAACCTGTTCCAGTTGCACCCAGAAAGTTTCAACTTGCTCAAAATTTCCAAGGAATATATTCGACCTCATCATCATCAGCACCTCCTTGATGGAGGTCATCACGGACGTGGTGACCCAGGTCCTCTCCACCTCCTCCTCCGCAGGCGCGTTGATTCTCCCCGGGTCAACCGGTGGAATCCCCGGGTCCCCAAGAGACCCGCAAAAGGCCTTGCGCCATATGGCTGTGGTTGTCAAAACCAATGGGATCCCATTTTGGGGGATTGGTGCACCGCCCATTTTAGGCTTTATTTTAGTGGGGATTGGGATGAATTCACTGGGGGTACGGTTTGGATTTGGACCCATGGCCATATGAGGCGCGATCCCAATCCTGCTGTTGGGATTGGGGAATCGGCCTCAAAATGCGGGACCCATGGGAAATGTCTGTCAGGTGGTTAGGTAGGGGTGGACAAAGTCAAAACAAGACGCACCCTGCAACCTCCATCGTAGCATAAATTTCTGCCTCCCCCCTTGTTCGATACCAAAATTGACTCGACGTAGCACTTTTTGCCTCCCATTCGCTTCCGAGCGCTTTTTGACGATTCGGGCAGAAATCCCATTCGGCCGTGTTTTCTTGATCCCCAGGGTCAAGTTGCTGCCAAAACGGGCACAAACATGTGCAAACAAAGTGCAAACCGAGCGCAAATCGGCGCAAAAAAGCGCAAACGAGCGCAAATTCAAAAAATGCTACGAATCGCAGGTAGCAAATTGCATTTGCGCGGATGTCTCGAGCACTTTCTGTTAAAACGAGCGTTTTTTTGAGAAGAAGGTGTCACGAGCAAAACTATTTCGTAGCAAAAATTCAGGTAGCAATGGAGGCTCCAGGACCAGTTGAGACAGACATCCGATTTTGAAAGCTGAGGGGTTGTGAAAATCTGGGGCCCTTGCAACAGTTGCCTGCGGGTTGTGTCCATCCACAGAGCCGCTACCTCTGGGTCGAAAGAGCAGGCAACGGGGAAACCACACATTTTGGGACTTGGTCGACTTTCATACCAGGTGTTGATTATGACTCATTTCCCCAAACCAGTTTGCTGGCATCACTTGGCTGGCAACTCAAGGTAAGTTTCCTCTTGGTGGGGTTGTGTTTCAGGGGGTCAGGAGCCCTGTACTGTATGTAGGCTGACGAGTTGCTCAGCCTGAATCAAAGATGCACCATTGCTGCTTCAGCTGGTTTTTGTTGTTGCAACACCTGGTTGCAGCAGACTCTGTTCCTCAATTATTCCGAACCTGAACAGTACCTCCTGAAAACTGACAGGTTCCAGTAAGGTTCAGCTTGTCATCGCTAGTGTCGTAGATCAGCCAGTTGCTGGACCCCTGTCTCAGGTGGCGATGCGCCATTGTTTTCTGTGTCCGTTATTGTTATCCGTATCAGAGCCATAAGCGAACCGCCAGAGCGAGTAAAGCCCAAGCCGTCTGACCTCTGACTAGAGACTAGAACGGAGCCATTAAGGACCAAGGTCAAAGACTTTTCCATGGCTCCCCTTGCTTGGCTCTGAATCACTCTTATGGATGTTGGGTCCCTGTGGTGGAATTGTCAGGCCCTACAGCAAGTTTGCGCATCAGACCCATGCGCGAGGCTCACACAGTGATTAAGATGGCCTTGCGTTTTCTTGAGCTGTTTGTTTTGGGGTCCCCTTTTTGAAGACACGTATGAAGCGTGAACCATGCGAGTCGGATCGCTCCAGGCCCAGGCCTGCGTCCAACAAGCATGCTCTGAAGCGAC